TATAAAAACTAATATAATATATAATTCAACTTGCTATTAAATATAATAATTATAATAAGATGATAATATAATTAAAAAAGTTTATTAATTATTATAGATAAATACAAAAAGATTTATATCTTAGATAAATATTATTAAATTATTTTTTCAAAATAATATTTTAATTTTGTTTTATTTAATTAAATTATTAAATATTAGAATTTATTTAAATATAAAAATTTTTATTAATAATAATTTTTTTCAATTATTATTTATTTAATATTAAATTAAAGTATAATAGAATAGTTAAAATAATATAAAAAATTAATTTAGATAATTTTTTATTTAATATAAAAAAATTATAAAAATTGATTAAAATTTATATGATTTTTATTAGAAATAATTATTAATTTTTATATTAAAATATAAATTTTTTTATATTTGATCATATAGTAAGAAATAATATAAAATATTTAATATTTATATATAATATAAAAAGAATTATAATTCAAAAATAAATAATTTTAATAAAAACTCCTCTTATTTACTTTTTATCTAAGTTAAAATTTTATTAAAATAGATTTTTTGTTAATTATAATTTTAAAAAATTATAATACTTTAATTTTATATATATTTGAAATTTGATATTTATTATATAAAAATTAAATATTTATATATTTAAAAACTTTTTAATTACTTTTAATTAATTAATTTAATTAATATATATAAGATCTGTAATAAAAAATTAATATTTGATATATTATTAAATATCTTATACTAATTCTTACTATATTAAAAATATATATATATATATATATCTAAAACTCATATTTATTTTTTATTTAATAAAATAAAATATAAAATTCAAATATATCTAATAAGTAAAGAATTATTAAATATCTTATACTGATTCTTACTATATTAAATATATATATATATATATATATATCTAAAACTCATATTTATTTTTTATTTAATAAAATAAAATATAAAATTCAAATATATTTAATAAATAAAGAATTTAAATAATTAAAATTTTTGGTATTAAATACTTGAAACTTAAAATAAAAATAGCTTATTAAACTTTTATTACCAAAAGTCTGATATATTATCAAGTATTAACTTGATTAATTATTTTTAAAAAAGTTATATATATATATCTTGAATTATTTAGATTTATCTTTTTTATTATATTATTATCTTTATCTGAAGTTTTTTCAAGATTCTTTTTTCTTCACTAATAAGAATATTTAAATCTTTTTCTAATCTTTTTAAAAAAGAATTAACATTATCATGATATAAAACTAGTTCAGTTTTGTAAATTTATAGTACTAGCATATGAAAAAGCTCAAAAAACAGGATCTATATCTCTTATGCCTATCTAACAACCAGAAATTAATTGTATCATAGGCATATCATAAGTCTGATAGAAACCAGAAAATAAAGAGTTTTAAATTATTAGCACTAAATACAGATCTTTATTTTTTGAAATTATATTATATTAAAAACTCAATAAAATCTTTAAATTAACTGGAATAATGATTTTTTTGTATATTTAAAAAAATCTTTTGAAAAAATTTATTGTATATTTTATTTTTTTTTAAGAGAAAAGTTTCAAAAATTACAGCACGTTGATAGTAAAAATATCTGTAAATAAATAATATTTTTTATTTAATCAAATCAGAAATGATAAAATTCTGCAAAATGCAGAAAATTGCAGAAATTGCAGATTAATAGGGTTTTTTACAGAAATCATATTAAACTGCAGAGATTGCAAAAATTGTGAATTTACCCTCTCCTCTTGTTCTTTTATAGAAAAACACGTACAAATTTTTTGACATGTTCTTTTTGAATAAAATCATCTTTTTTGATTAAAAATTAATTTTGTGATAACATGATATAAGAAAATCACTTCTCAAATCTGTATTTATGAATTTTCTGGTCATTTTTATATTAATAACAATCTACTTTTTTGCAATTTTTGTAATATTTTCATTAAATGGAAATGTAAATCAACAGTAAATGATTATATTAAAAGCAAAATACATCAAGATTTGAAATTTTCTTTAAAAATTTAATTCATATATTCTTATACATTCTTCATATTCTTTATTCAAAGTATGTCAAGTATTTGATCCTGCTTATACTTATTTTGATACAATTGAAAGAAGAAATATTTAACAATATTCTATTATTACCTTCAGAAAATTTATTATAGGAGTGGGCCATTTATAGTGGATGGAAATTTGTATTTAGATGAGTTTGGGTAAGATAATATCAATCAATTTTAATTATTATTTAATATAGTTTTGAATCATATTTGGTTACCTATTTCTAGTTGCAGTGTAGAATACAATTTTTCAAACTATAGTTAAACCTGATTATAGCAAAGCTTGGTTATAATGAAGATCTGTTTATAATGAAAATTTTCTCTTAAGTCAATCAAATTTGAGTATATGACTGACTATAGCGAATTTTATTAAGAAACCTGATTATAATGCTTATAATGAAGATTTGATAGAACAACATAATGTGCTACTAATTGACTATAATAAAGATCTTTATTATAAACAGACTGATCTTTATTATAAAAAATTATACTACTATAAATTCATTACAAACAGATAGATATTTATTATAACTGTTAGTATTATCTAAATCTATAATAGTATATTGTCTTCAAGATAATAATGAAAAGATCTTTCTTCTTTAAAATAATATCAGAAAATTTAAATACAAAAAAGCAAAATTTAAAGTGTAATACATTAATAGGTGAACAGAAAAAAAAGTTATATCTAAAAAAATAAATGAATCTGAAAATTACTGGTATTGATTTAGCTTGTGAATTTAGCATAGATGAAAAAACTGTGAGTGGTATTTTACATGAAAAAGATAAATGGTTAAGTATTAATTCAGATATGTCTAAATTAAGTTTGAAAAAACAATGATCTCCCATGTGATCTCAACTTGAAGAATTCTTATTAATATGGATAGATCAAGCTATTCACTATAATTGTACTATTTCTGGGCATATTATAAAAGAAAAGGCCAGATAATTTGCAGAATTATTACAGATAAATAATTTTACTGCATCTTTCAGATGATTTGATAGATTTAAAAAAAGGTATAATATTAGAGAATACTTGAGAGTGGGTGAAGGTAATAGTATACCTCTTGAAAATCTTTTCAAGTTCAGAAACCAATTACAAGATGTCATTAAAAATTATGAGTTGAAGAACGTATTCAACTGTGATATGATGGTACTTTTCTGGCTTTTAAAACCAAACAGAACATTATCTAAAGGAATAGTTATTGGAACAAAAAAATTGAAAGAATGTATAATAGTATTACTTACTTGTAATGCATTGGGTAAAAAAATTAAACTGACTTTTATCTATCACTATAAAAATCTACAAGTATTAAAGAATATTTAGAAATTGACCCTCTCAGTTTTTTATTACTAGAATAATAAAGCATAGATGCAACATTCTATTTGGTTCATCTTTGTAAAATAATTAAATCAAATTATAAAAAATCATAACTGATATATATTGTTACTTATTGATAATGCTCCATGTTACAGAATTAATGAAAAACTTTACCTTACAAATATTATCATATACCCTTTACCAGAAAATACAATTGCTTATTTTCAGCCATGTGATGCTGGAATTATTTATAGTTTCAAGATATAAATAATATATGCTTTACGCTTGATATAAAAACTTAAGTTTTATTAATCTGATAATGTACTTTTAGACTAAATATAGACAACTGCTTTGTGAAAATCATATCCAAGAATTTAATAAAGAAATAGAAACTGGAGTATCATCTTCAAAACTCTCTATACTGGATGTGATTCAGATAACAGCCACCACTTGAGATAGAGTTATGACAAATATTATAAAAAATTATTGGATTAAAATAGGAATTCTTCCATTATCATATGATAATGCCAAGACTAATTTGTCAGAACTAGAGGAAAGTATTCAACGTGATAAGTGTCAAATGCAATATTCCATCAATAACTTGTTAGGAAATAATAATAATATTACAGTGAATGATTTTTTGTCTATTGATGACAAATTATTGTTGATTGAAGACTATGAAGAAAGTACTGAGCAGGAAATTATTGATTGTATTCTTGAAAAAAATACAGAAGTGGAAACTGATGAAGATGCTCCTAGTAAAGTCATTGATGTAAGCAACAAGGAGGTGATTGAATATCTTGAGAAGTTGCAAAAATATATTAATCAAGAAAATAATATGTCAGTCTCGTTCGAATGGATGCGTCAGTTTAATAGCATTAAAAATAGTATTCTTAATAATATTATGTCTAAAAAAGTACAAATGCAGTTAGAGCAATATTTCGACTTTAATCTTAATAATTAGAAATAGATATATAGCAGTCCCTCTATAAGTTATTTATAGGCGTCAGATATGAATTTAACTAAAGTTGATCAATATGTTATGATAATTAGCATTATAAAAAAATTCATTCTTAGCAATCTGGATATAATGAACCTAATTATAAATAATTATAATCTTTGCTATAAAAGTGACCTTGGTTATAAGGAATTTCTGGTTATAAAGAATATTTTCTCTGGTCCCGTCGAATTCGTTATAACCAGGTTTGACTGTATAACAATATTCTATCTAATGATAGACAAAATCTTACTTAGATCATTGAATATGTTATATTTTTAATAAATAAAAAAACTGCAGAATAATTACAGAATTTGAATTATTCTTGCGGAATTATTACAAAATCTAAAGTATTATTGCAGAACTACAAGTTTTTAATATTGCAGAATTTTTGCAGAAACTATATATTATTGCAGACAGAATTTACCTTTAATCATCTCAGAAAATCATCGTCCCTGAATCAAACTTACTCTAATTATATTATCACGTTATTTCTGATCACATGATTGATTATTTAATTTGTCATCAAACATTACTTGACAGCTTGGTTTCTAGCATTCCAAAATGTCGCGCCATCGAAATGTCCGAAATATTAAAGTTGAAGGTAAAAGAGACATTATTTGCAGGTTGAAGAAAGCCTCATTCAATTTCGGATTAAAAAACTTCGTTAATTCTATTTTAGAGATTTTCGAGGAAGAGGGGTATTACGATGATTATGGAGACGAGGGTATGCTCAATTTTATTGTCACTGCTTGTGATATTTATTAAGTTATCTAACATATATTTTCTAAAAAATACATTCAAGAAATGACAGAAAAACAAAAAGGTATTTTGCATATATGCGCATTAATATATGCGTTCTTTTGATAAAGTTCAGTAAATGCAACGAAAAAATTCAACAATGCTTTGATTTACTGCGCTGCTGGAACAATAATATTGTGTTAAGTTAATAACTGATCTTTGGCTAAATAGAACAAATGAAAGCAGGATTACAAAAAGTCAGAAAAGTTATCGGAGTCGATAATGGCATTACTAATGCCGAAATCGAAAATTCATTATGGAATTACTATTTTGATACGAATGAGACTATTAATTGGCTTTTAGGTAAAATAAACATAATCTTTTATTGCTTCGTTACAATATGTAGATAATTGTTCTGAGAGAATAAAATTACTTATTTATATTTTCAGAAAAAATTCGCAAGAATCAAGAGAATCAAAGCAAACCTACTTCACCACTACCTCCTAAACAAAAAGAATTTCCATCGGTACCGTTAAAATTAAAAAATTCTCAAGCATCTGTCAAAAAAGGTGATTTGTTGATTTTTTTTTGTAATTTCTTGCTTCTTTTGGCTGTCAATGTTGAATCTGCAAAACCGAAAAAACTGGATGGCGAGCCAAATAAAAATATTATTTTGCATAAATAAATCCGGACTATTATATATTATGGATTTGTCTTTCTTTGTGTTCGAAATGCAATATAATATATAACTAGACCGACCGTAGTTCTAGAATCTCAAAACCCAAAACCTTTCTTTTGCCGTATATATATATATATATATTAATCGAGCACCACCACCTTGCAGTCTCGGAATCTCCTCACATCTCAAAAAAACGCAAATCAAAAACAGATCCATATATAATAAAAAATGAGACTTGTTCGAAAGGATGCGTTCATGACAAGAGCTTTGTCGCTCCTGCTGATCTTTGGTCTTGGTATAACGTTAAATGGTCATGTCCAAGAAATGGAAATTCGATAATAATTCCTGTTAAGCACCATCTCATTGACTCGCGAGGGAGAATGACAAGACAAACTGGTTTGCTTGGTGGAGCAGATAATCCAGAGTTTGATGATGGATCGCAAAAAAAAACTAATTTTAAACCGGAGATATCGAGAAATCGCATAGGATTAGCTTCTTTACATGTCAATGAAGGGTCAAATCCACGTACATTGAAAAAATCGAATCCTGAAGGTCCGGCTAGTACTAGACTATCATCTTTATCCCACTCTAATACTGAAACACCTGCGAGTCGGCCATCTTTATCTGCCTTGGCACAATCGAGCGCCAGACAATCGACTAGACCTTCATTAACAGATTTGGCAAAGATTTCCTCCTCCTCTTCAAAAGAAAAATCTCTATCCTCCATTCTATCATCGAAAAATAAAAGTGACGAACGTCCATCTTTGTCATCATTGGCCCAAAAATCTCAATCTAACAACCGTGTGTCATTGACAAGTCTAATTCAGAAACTTGATTATATACCAATTAGCCGATCTACTTTTCAACGTTCTGCTGAAGGCAGTCAATCGTTGCTTTCCTCTCAGACATCCATTCCACAGCCCCCATTGGAAAATCATCTTCTCGAGAATAAAGCTCAAGTCATAAGTAACAAGAACATTTCGACAATACCAAGTTTATCAGATCTTGCAAAGCTAAAAGCATCGGTGTCAAATCAAATTGTGTTAGATAATAATTCTCCCGTGGTTGTCTCCGAAAATAAAGAAAATGAAAACATGTTATTATTATCTTCGAATGTTTCTTCTAATTCTTTAATCGCGCCGCCATCCATTTTTGCGAAAACAATATTTGCAAAATATGAAGACGCCAATCCACCAACTATTATTGACCATTTTACGTTTGATATATTCTCGTCAGGCGAAAATAAGAAATTCAATTTTAATCAACCAAGTCCTGATGACATCGTGATGAAGGCACAAAGCCAAAAAGGAGGTGTAAATGCAAAAGGTAGATAAAATTTCTGCCTGTTTTAGCTCTTTCAAATATTTACCCATTTTTGAATATAAAAGAAAAGGCAAAAGAAAAGGCCAAACAAACCATTACAGCAGCAACTACGACCACTTCAGCCACAACTCCTCTGCAATCTAAAGTGGCTACACCGTCAACTTCAAAGGTACGAAACATAATGAATTCATCGCAGCAAACGTCAAAGTCAACAAAAGTAGGAGCAGAATATATTGATGATGAGGATTCTATCATTGAAGTTATTGAGAATGAAGATGATGAACAATTAAGATTTGATTTGTCTGCTCTCAATCTCGCATCTACAAATGTACCCGACAAACCTTCTACTAGTAAATCCGTATCTTCTATACAAACAAAAAGTTCACAATCAGTTAGCGCAAATAAACCGAAAATACAACAAGCTAAACCTCCTCAAAAACTTGCCAATCGTATTGATGTTATATCTGAATATAAAAAACGCACTTCAGATAAGGAATCCTTGAATTTAGTGGTCATTGGTAAGTTCATATTCTACCCGCTGCTACTTTATCTGATTATATTAATTAAACCATGTACTTTGTTTCTTTTACAGGTCATGTAGATGCAGGAAAAAGCACATTGATGGGACATCTACTTTATTTATTGGGTGAAGTGAACGAGAAAACAATGAAGAAATATGAAAGAGATTCTCAAAGAATTGGGAAATCATCATTCGCATACGCATGGGTTTTAGATGAAACTGGTGAAGAAAGAAGCCGGTTAGTTTAATATTCGTGGTAATTTCGAGGAACTGCTCTTCTAACTTTTTAATATTGTTATAGAGGAATTACTATGGATATTGCAATCACTAAATTTGAAACAGAACATCGACGGTTCACTTTATTAGATGCACCTGGTCATCGAGATTTTATCCCTAATATGATATCAGGAGCAGCACAAGTATGTGTATTGATTATTATATCATACGTTCTTATCGTTTAATTATTGATTAGAAAAGATAAAAAATTAATTAAAATAGGCCGACGTTGCAATTCTGGTAGTTGACGCGACTACCGGAGAATTTGAGGCCGGATTTGAGGCTAACGGTCAAACAAAAGAACACGCGCTATTAGTAAGAAGTTTGGGTGTACAACAGTTAGTAGTCGCGATAAATAAACTTGATGTTGCAAGTATTAAGTATTACTTATCTATATATAGTTTTGTTATTTAATCAGAATCGCTGAATAATTCTAAAATTTCTTTAAAAAGGTTGGATGGTCAAAAAAACGATTTCATGAGATTGAAGGAAAGCTTGATACTTTCCTAATGCAAGCTGGCTTTAAACGTGATAAAGTGAAATACGTACCTTGTAGCGGATTAACAGGAGAAAATTTATTGACAAAATCTGAGGAGAAACTCGATTGGTATCCGGGTCCAACACTAGTTAAACAAATAGGTTAATTATATATAAACAAATTCAATAAAAAGATTCTTGATCGAATGCGTATTTAATAATGATTTTCGTGTTATTCCTATTAGATTCCTTTGAACCACCTACACGACTTCTAGACAAACCATTTCGTCTCTCTATAACAGATTTCTTTAAGGGTGGATTGGGTGGTAGTGGTGGAGTATCTGTGGCGGGTCGAATAGAAGCGGGCACAATACAAATTGGTGAGCAAGTTTTGGTAGTCCCAGGAGGCGAGTATGGGACAATAAAAGGTAATAATTATTTTGTTTGTTAAATCATCATTTCGCGTGTGCTAAAAAGTAAAAATATTTTTAGCTATAGATTTGAATGATGAATCAGCTAAATGGGCTGCAGCTGGTGATAATGTCTTGATGTCGTTGACCGGTTTAGATATCATGCAATTAAGGTAGCTCATATTATAAGTATCGATTTCATATAATTGATTGCTGATATATTCTTACTATGTGTATCAGTATTGGCGCTATTTTATGCTCTCCTTCGAATCCGGTTCAAGTGACTTCGCATTTCCTTGCTCAAATTGTTGTCTTTGATGTCAAAGTGCCTATTACAAAAGGATTCCCAGTGAGTTCTTTCATTTCTGTATTTTTCACGGTTTGATTTCCTAACTTTTTAAAAATATAGGTTATCCTCCATCATCATAGCCTTGATGAACCCGCTTCAATAGTCGATCTAATAGCTGTTGTTGATAAAAGCACTGGTGAAGTAATAAAGAAGAAGCCAAGGTATAGTAACCAACAAATAGATAATTATCTTACATCTCTACTGACATGTATAGCTTGTCTGTATTTTCTCAATAGGCATCTACCCAAATCAACAACAGCCACTGTCGAAATCAAACTTACAAATCGACCCATCCCCCTCGAGACTTTTCGAGAAAATAAAGAGATTGGAAGAATAACACTGAGAAAAGGAGGTGATACTGTTGCTGCTGGTGTAATAATTGAAGTGAGTAATTCATATTTTCAAGTGTTTAATACTGGTTAACCAATAGCTCATTACTGTCTTATATTTAGATTTTTTCTTTTGGATCTTGAAAATCTGAGATATACTTGTTTTATTGTGTTGTTGCGGTATGGAGATCTTATCTATATATTTATATTCAACGAACTATTACTTTATCATGTATTTTTTGTATACTGGAAGTCATTCGTTTTTTTGTTATCATATTAAAGAATTGCATTTTTTGAATGATCTTTGCTCCGGATTTTACATACAGTTTTTAGGAAAAAATGGAGGTTCTGGGGATTGAACCCAGGGCCTTTTGCATGCAAAGCAAACGTGCTACCACTGCACCACGCCCCCAGTAGGTTCGAAAATTTAAATATAAACCAATTTAACCTAGAGCATACATATTGAATGTAATGATCATTTGGTGCTGATTTCTTTATTGATATTACATACTATTAAACTCACCGAACAAACTCCAACCATTTGATTGGACGTTTCATGTAACTCTAACCAAATCTATCTAAAAGTTGGATATTTTAGATGTTCAACTGGCCATTCACAACGGAAAGTCTAACAGCATTTTCCGAGCATGTGATCATTCGTACGATGATAACCAATAAAATCAAATAACTTGTATCTCACGTGCATAGAAAAAATATTCATCATTATATTCGTGGGACAGTTCACAAAGATTTTCCACTCACATTCGACTTTAACCATCGTGTATAAATATGTCAACTTCTTCATGCTACAATAATCTTGTTCTTATGTATAGATAGATCTCTTTAGGATTGGTTTTATTTTCGTGTTTCGCTATTCGTATTATTAATAGGGTGGTATTTATTAGTTTGTAAGGCAGTAAAAGTGAAAATAGAGTATTCGATATGCCCGGCGCAGACGTTTTATTCGCACCTGACTATACTTCGGTTTCATTCGATTTCGAAGATTTTGTGAGAGAAGAACTAGGTCTTGGTCTCCATGGACCAGGTAAAATAAAAAATTAGAGAACTGAAATAAATCCATTTTGCGTGTTAAGAAATTCATTACTTAAAATCGCAATCTTCCCAACTAAAAATTCATTATTTAAAATTACAATCACAAATTCCTAACGAAATAACAAAAGACCAAATATGTCAAGCATACCTTCGAGGAAACTGTCACAAAGGCTCCAAATGCGAATTCAAACACACAAATAGTGCACGAGAGAAAGCTGTCGTATGCAAGCATTGGTTACGTGGCTTGTGCAAAAAAGGAGACCAATGCGAATTCCTTCATGAGTTTAATATGCGAAAAATGCCAGAATGCTGGTTCTATTCGCGATATGGCGAGTGTAGTAACGAGGATTGCATGTATTTGCATATAGATCCCGAGAGTAAAATTAAAGAATGTGCTTGGTATGCAAGAGGATTTTGTAAACATGGTGAGTGGGATGTTATAAATATAAAATGAATGATTTATGATAAATGTTTTATTAATGCATGCTTTATTTTATGAATTGATAAACATAAAGGTCCAAATTGCCGGCACAAGCATGTACGCAAGGTTGTGTGTCAATTGTATCTGACTGGGTTCTGCCCAAAAGGACTGAATTGTCCTAATGGCCAGTAAGAATTTTTTGATTGTTATTGTGATATCAAATTTACTAGCGATCAATTAATTAAAAATTAATCAATTATTTGGTTAATAGTCCAAAATATGAATTACCGGTAACACGTGGTGATTATGATGGAGCCTCAGAATTGGACAATCATAAAAGTAATGAAAATAATGCTGAGGAGGTAAATGTCAATATAATGGATTTTTAACTTTGATTTCTTGAAACTAATTCATGATGGGATTCAATCAGAATCAACGACCTCAAAATCATCATGGTCATCGACCGCTGTCCGAAGTTACATGTTTTAAGGTAAGAAATAAATTGACTTTAATCACAGATATTAGCATGTTAATAACGTTTTATTTAAATAGTGCGGACAAAAAGGTCATTTCGCAAATCGATGTCCGAATGGAGGTGGTGGTGGTGGAGGGTATCATAATCGTCATCGGGATCGAGATCGAGATCGAGATTATCACAATAACAGCAATTTTAGGCATGATGATAATAACACAGCAAACAAATCTTGATAGAAAAACGACTTAGAAAAAGATTTGCGGCGACTTCTTTTAAAAAACGGAACAATTTCGAAATGTCATTTTGATTAGCCCTTAGGAATTGTAAGATTTATTCGTGTAGAATTTTCGATTCTTTTATTACTGTTTATCTTTAAATCATCCCATTTTATTTTTTTATTATCTTAAATTATCACATTTGTTATTTTTAGTAGATATTTTTTGAGACTTATTTATCAGTTTTCATTAGATTTTTTTTGTTTCAATTTTGATATCTTGTTTCGATAAGTGTGTGCATGTACAGTAGTTGTTCTATCTGAAAGCTTTCACATTCTTTTCTTCGTTAATTTACAATAACTCTTTTTTTGTTGAGATATCCATAAGTTGCATGAGTGACGAGTAACTTAATACGTTTTCAACATTCTGGAACAGTCGCATCTGTTAAATTTATCCCAGATAAAAAATTAATACAACAATGAAAGCTTTTATTCGTACTGGATTGATGATGACCTATTTCCATTATCAATGTAAATAACCATGCCTTTACAAATTGAACGAGAGTTGCGAAATTATGATCTTATGTCGTGAATTGTTTAAAAGAAAAACTATGAAAAGAGAGCTGTATGATTTGAAACCACATATCAATTAATTTTTGCTCTTCAGTCACAAGTGATTTTGAAACTAAAAATTCAATTGCCAGGCCATTTTTCTTTAATTCACGAACAACACGACTTTACAAGCACTCTTTCATTTATCGTTATTCTCTGATCGCCAAATTTCTTTAAAAGAACAATGATATCATAGGGTTAGACGTCTCAGTCCCCCAAAATATAACATCATCGAGACAGAGTTATAGTATCATGACATCATATCGAAAAACAAACCATTGTAATTCATAGTAAACGATATAATATTAACGGGGGTTGAAATCCTCCAAAAATGTATAATGTTAAAAAATTTACCGCCGATCATCTCTGTCTTTTTAGACTTATATCAGTCAGGTATCTACACCGCAAACACAATGAATTGTCAATTTAGAATCAATATCTCGACGCACAGTGTCCTGACTCAAGCGAAAATACTACCATTCGATTTGTCTGGACCAGACAAATCGAATGGTAGTATTTTCGCTTGAGTCGGGACAAGATATTGGACGATTCATTTTTTGTTGATCATTAAAAATGATCGTCAAACTCAAACAACGAATTTGCTCATTTTAGGACACAATACCTCGATACGTATTGATTGGATTTAATCAAAATTAATATAATTCGATCATCTCGGAATGTCAAGTATTGGGACACTAGACGTCGAGATATGCATCATAAATTGAGGCATGGAAGGTTGATGAATGTTCAATGTCTGAATATAGAAAGTATGCCAGCTTATAACAAACGTAGATGTCAGTTTTTGATTGTTCTAAAATTTCTTGACATTCTATGAGATTTTTCACCGAGATAAAAAGGGGTTAGTTATTTATGATTCCAACTATATATGAAGAGACATTTTTAAACATAGAAGTTTATTGATGATTTATGACATATGTAGATTATATGTAAATCTATAAAAGCCATCATGTTCTTTGTGTCCGGAAAATTTCAATAACATTTCACATGATTTTCGCAAAGTCATGGGTAGCTCGGTTACTTATTATGTATATCGTTATGTATATATCGGCCATTTTCATATATGTAATACGCAGAATGATATTCAAAGTACATTGCTATTTTCGGGTTTCTGAAAAAAACATTGTCAAACAACTTATCAGTTAAAAAAGCGAGATGTAATGCATGAATTGCATGACTATTTATACATACATGTATATAATGTACGATTCCAACAAACATGCTCGGCTAATGCATGTGAAAATGTTTATTTTTCTCTGGCGTCAGCGACGCGTGTGTTCTCTCGTGTTTCATGGATAATATATAGCGAATTAATGATGCAGCTCCAAAAAAGGATGATAAAATAGGGTCTAACAAGATAAAAGATGGCGGTGACAGTTTATTTTTCTATTTTATTCATTACTTCTTTCTCTGTTATTGCTGTTATAATCACGCTTTCGGCAGAGTAATATATTATTACTCAATACCAACTACTTTTCTTTTCCTATCTAACATTCATTCATTCATTCACCAACAATTCAGTTAGAATCCATCATTACTTCCTTAAAAACATCTTCTATCCATTATTCCTTAACTCATTAATTTCGTTACCAATATATCAAGATCCACATCTATATTAGGAAGTCTCAGTCGAAGGATTTTCATAATTTCCTTATTCATTTTATTAAGGATCTTTGGGGGTACTTCAGAATATTTGTATTTAATGATTATTTGTTCGACACGCGGCCGGACGCTAATTTTCTCTTTAAATTTCAACAGAATAATATCATTAAAAAAATGGCAATCTCCAAATTTTCAATCCGTAAAATTTTCACCCTTGGTTTAGTCTCGCTGTTGGTATGTGGCGAATTGCTTAGTAACACGAGGATTGGCATTGCAACTTACGCGGTTCCCATAACTAATGGTGATACTTCACCAGAATCTTCTTCAACGTCGTCGACACCAGCGATTATGGTGTCTCCTGCGGACGATACACAATTCAAATTTTGGGTAAAATATGCAAGGTATTATAATTTATTCATTAGAATTCATTTAACGTCAAGAGAAAATCAAGATATAATGTTATTCCTTTGCCATAGACGTACTAAATGTTAATGTTAATATTAATAATAGCGCCGCATATTGTAACGTTGAGGGATGGAATTGCGGTGTTGCTTGTCAAGGGGTAACTGCGCAAACACGTTTACTTCAATATTTTGATCAAACGGTGAATAAAGCTTATGGTAATTGTTCAACATTTTTTATGCTTCCATTTGCTGGCTTTTAAACTTTTTTTCAGTAAGTTAAATTCGATCATTTTCATGTTAGTTGCCGCAAATGATCAAAAGAAATCAATTGTCGTGGCATTTCGAGGTGAGCAAGAAAAAAATTCGAAAATTTTTTAAAATATAAATCGTTAATTCCAAATTTTGCATAATTTTTAGGTACCGCCGATATTGAAGGATTCATGCAAGACTCACAATTTTATCTCACCGATTATCCGGGAATTACGGGAGCCAAAATTCATGCTGGGTATTAAATTATTATATAATTTTAACGTTATTTCATATTTAAACTTCTTGTGACAAATATTCTTCTTCTTTCTTTAGGTTCCTAAACACATTCCAAATGATCAACAAAAACGTTACAAACTTTGTAAAAGAAATTGTCCCAAAATATCCTGGATATAATGTGATTTTGACAGGTCACAGTCTTGGTGGGGGTGAGTAGAAATTTTTCAACTTAAAAACCGATAATACTCTCATAAATAATGAAGACAGCAAGGCTAATTTCGTGCTATGTATTATTATAGCAATGGCCATTTTGCAGTTATTGGAATTTGTCAATATTCCTGGACTTTCTCGTGACAACCTATTCGTTTACACTTATGGTGAGCCGCGTATAGGTAACGACGTCTTTGCGAAATATGTCGAGAACCTAAGAATTAACATTTTCCGTGTCGTCAACAAGAATGACCTTATTCCTCATTTACCACCGAGAGCGTTTACATATATTCAGCATTCGCCAGAGTTTTTTGTTCATTCGTAAATATAATTTTAGATTTATCTACTTTTCTTTATTTTGCGAAGAGCTAATAAAATTTTTTTTTTATAGAAACAATACAATGTTTGAATGTCCAGTCGCCGAAGACATAAACTGCAGTAACTCGTTGACACCAAATTTTGATTTAATTGCTCACGCCAATTATTTTGATACAGCATTCGTGATTACGTGTCTTGCCAAAAAATAATGAAAGCGGAAACTTGTGTATGCTAGGACTGGATTCTTGGCATGATAGGATAAATTGTAACATGTGAAAGTACCGATGACATTCGGTGTATTTAATATTTATTGCAAGAATAAATATTTATTTAATTTTTTTTATACTGTGAAAGAAATTCATGGATAAGAATCGCCCAAGTCACTGTTTTTTTCGCAATCTAATAAGAAGCATGCTTACTGGAATCCGAATAATGCTTGGATGACTACTATGATTTCAAGAAATTATTCTTGGTTATAGGATTTTATTGGTTCAACTCAAAAATTCATCTCAATGCTAAGTCATGACAAGCTTGGTTTGATTTATTACAGAACCGAAGCTCAAGTCCATTGGTTGCCGGCTTATTCTATATCCAGCGTTTTTATAATTCGTTTTGTGCGTATAACGCATAACAATAAAACAAGTGAGCTCTTTATTTGGAATTTTCATATGCAATCTGTACACGTGACGCTTATACCCAATATACTTGTTTTCGATACCGTGTGAACTCTTCATTAGCTGAGCACACGCTATGACTTGCCAAAATGACGTACAGCCAGCATTATTGACGTTAATGAAAGTTTTACAAATAGATTACTGCAAAAAATAAACCAATCAAACCGCAAGATCAATGTGTAACGAAAAAATTCGCCTTTGTGTTCTAATAAAAATGTTTCTTGTGAAATTTTACTATATATTTATAAATGAAATATAATTCTTGCGATTTTGATATACTTTATATATCTAATATAGCATCAATTTGCATTATCAATTGACTTAATTATTATTATAAAATATAAATTAATAAGTATTTTATTCATTTACTTTACAATTAATCATAATTATCTCTAACTCTATATATACTTATATCCATCAGAACATTACAAAATTATAATAAAAGAGTTGATAAAGATTCATTCTTGATAAGAATATATTATCTTAATGAATTTTCAATAGGATTATTTATAATTAAAAATAAAAGATTAATAAAATTTATTTACAAGATTATTAATAAAATAAATAATAATTAAGATAAATCAAAAAAAGTAAAGATATAAAAAATTAGATTGTAATATTTTAGATAATTACTTATTTGTGCTATTTATAAAATAATTAAAAAAAAATCAAGAGTTAAGTTAAAGATTTTATTATTTATCAAGTTAAAGAAATTATACTTAATAAATAATTATAATTTTGAGTTTAATTCTTAATTTTTATTATATTTAAAATATTAATACTTTTATATTTTTAAATTATTAATTTATATTATTTTAATTACTAATAATATTTTTAAATATATAAATTTATTTAATTTATATTTTTAAGCTAAAAAATATTTTAAGTTATTTATATATCTTTTTAATTAATCTTATTATATAATTTTATATATTAAAAATATCTATTTTATATAATAATTATTATAAATCAATATAAAAAGATTTATATCTCAGATAAATATTAATAGATTATTTTTCAAAATAAAATTTTAATTCTGTCTTATTTAATTAAGTTATTAGATATTGAAATTTATTTAATGTAAAATTTTTATTATATATCTTTTATAAAAAAATTTTTACTAATAATAACTTTTTTTAATTATTATTTCTTAATAAAATTGGATTAATATAATAATTATATAGTAAATAATTTGATTACTTAACTTTGAATCTTAATATCTTTATAGCTATTAATTCAATTTTTATGAAATTTAGAATATATATTTATCAAATCTAGAGCAATCTGCTTGCATAATTTGAAGTTTTAA